AGTTGAAATTATTTGGATATTTTGAATATTTCATCTAGCTCTTAGTTAATATTGGTTATTATATATAATAGTTTTAATTGTTGTTTCTCTTCTTCAGGTACGACATTTACTTAATTAAGGCTAAATTGATTTAATTAATTTATTATTTTTTATTAATAAAATCGTTTCTCTTTTTCAGAGCAACACAATTTAGTTGTTATATGCCGAACTCTATTATAAAACAACAATTCTACAGCTATTGAACCATGGACAAATTGAAATTTGAATTCATAGTAAAATCGAACGAAGATCCAAAAACAAATGTAATATGCATAACCTCAATTACGGATATGAACAACCGCATATTTGCAATTCCGGATAAATTTCAGCCGGTAAAGTTCCATGAGACAATTATGAAGACTGAAACTTTTCTGAAAGTAAAAACTACATTACAAAGAAGACATGAAAAAAGACAAGTATGGATTTCATTAACACCAGAAATAAGAAATGTTTATATAGATGTAAATGGAAATACGCAGTTAAATGGGTATTTACTAGAGGAAATTACTGCGGAAACCGAAACTGACAGCTACGACTGGAATTTCTGAAGAAACACTGTCAAAAATATTGGAGAATTTTACAGAAATGACCAAGGAAATAAATAAACCTCAACATATAGGAAACCTAACGAGAACATTTGTAATAGATAAATTTTCAAGAAAAACATCAAATTTTCTCAATGGATGAATATTTTGAAACAGAATGTGCTCGTTTAGGAATAGATGAAGATACAAAAAAAATTGAGGCTCTGAGGTTATTTTTAGAGGAAACGTGCATGGACTGGTGCAGTTCTATGCTAATAAAGTATAGTGTAAATTCAGATTGGTGGATGTGGAAAAAAACTTTTGTGAAACCTATGCTGACAAAGGTTGGTCGCCAGTCCGGTACGCAATTTTATTTAAACACAAACAAGACTCATCATTATTAGCATATGCACAAAAAAAAGAAAGATTATTATTAGAATTAAATAAATCAATGGATAAACAAACCCTCATTGATTTAATCGTTACAGGGCTACCATTTTATAGCGGATAAAATAGATAGAGATAATTTAAAAGAAACTGAAGATTTATTTAATAATATTTGAGGTTTAGAGCATTTAGTAAAAAAAAGAAATTTTGAAAAAAAGATTATCAGTTTTGAAAGCAACATTAAGGAGAAACATGACACAGACCGGCGGCCATGCAGAATTTGTGAAAAAGAAGAAAAAGGAACTCGCTATCATCCAAAATCACGGTGTTGGTTCAAAAACAAAAACAGTGATCGATCACGAAGAGACCACATTAAAAGCATTAACAATTCTGAATTAGAAATCCAGTTAAATGAAACTAGTCCAAAAAACTTGTAATTCCACCATTAATCAAAATAAAATTGACAATAAATGATACTTTAGAAACTTTAGGAATTTATGACTCAGGATTAAATGTATCTTTAATAAATTCAAAATTATTGTCAATAAATTCAAAATAAACGAATAATAAATTTAAAAACGATTAATGGTGTGAAAAAATCTATTGGAATAATGACTTTAAAGATAAAATTTTAAAAATTGAAAAATATATTAATGTTTTTGTTATAGATAAAGAAAATTTTGATTACAATTTTTTAATTGGATTAGATTGTATAAGAGCATTTCAATTATGTCAAAATGAAAAATTAGAAATCAGACAAACAATTCAAGATTTCAAGAAAGATGGAAGTAAAAATAAAATAAATTTTAATGAACATATAAAAACGACGTGCTTCAACATCTCAGTAAACCATCTAAACTTTCAGCAACAATCTGAAATTAATAAAATAATTTCAAAATATAAAACACTTTTTGCTCAAGATAAGTACGACATAGGCACGGTGAAAAGATATGAAGCCCATATTGATTTACAAATAGATAAATATTGTAGTAAACGACCATACAGGTGTAGTATTGAAGATCAAAAAGAAATAGAACAGCAAGTATCAAAATTATTACAGAAAAATTTGATTGAAGAGTCTTATAGTCCTTTTGCAGCTCCAGTAACATTGGCTTATAAAAAAGAAGAAGGACGAAAATGTAGATTATGCATAGATTTTCGTGACCTAAATAAAATCGTAGTTCCTCAATCACATCCGCTTCCGCTAATCGAAGATTTAATGGTAAAAACAAGAAATAGTAAATATTTTTCAACATTGGATATAAACTCTGCATTCTGGTCAATCCCTTTAAAAATTGAAGACAGAAAAAAAACTGCATTCGTTACTCAAGAAAATCATTTCCAATGGACCTGCTTACCATTTGGTTTAAAAACATCTCCGGCAATTTTTCAGAGAGTATTGAGTAGTATCATTAGGAAACCCGGACTATCAGACATCACTTTTAATTACATAGATGATATTTTAATATTTTCTGAATCATTTACAGAACATATTAAACACTTATCCTTGCTATTGGATGCAATTCTGAAAGAAGGATTCAGATTAAAATTTTCTAAATGTAACTTTGCCCAAGACTCAGTTAAATATTTGGGTCATATAATAAAAAATAACACAATAACTCAATTGAAAGATAATTTAATTGCAATAAAAAATTTTCCTGTCCCCAAAACACGAAAAAATGTTCGACAGTTCTTGGGTAAAATTAATTTTTATGGAAAATATGTAGCTAATTTATCAATTATATTAGAGTTACCGCATAAATTGTTAAGAAAAGATGAACAGTTTATTTGGTCGAAAAAATGTCAAGAATCATTTGATAAAATAAAAAATCTACTTTGTAAGAGCCCCATTTTAAATATCTTTGATCCAGACAAACCAATACACATTTATACAGACGCTAGTATACAGAGTATAGGTGCTGTCCTGAAGCAACCACAATATAATGTAGAAGAAAAGCCTTGTGCATATTTCTCAAGGAAATTAAATGATAGAGAAAAAAAGAAAAAAGCCATTCATTTGGAGTGCTTAGCTATAAAAGAAGCAGTAAAATATTGGCAACATTGGCTCATGGGGAAAAAATTCACAGTTTTCTCTGATCATAAACCCTTAGAAAAATTGAATATTAAAGCTAGACCTTGCTACCTGTATCTCAATCTGGTTTCAGACCTGCTCACAGTACTGAAACTTCGTTACTTAAAATACACAATGATATCCTTCTCTCTAGTGACAATAGTAATTTTACTCTTCTTCTTGCTCTTGACTTTTTCTCTGCTTTTGATACTGTTGACCATACTATTCTCTTGAGACTGCTGCATCTTTCTTTTAATATTACTGATTCTTGTCTATCTTGGTTTTCTTCTTATCTCTGTAATCGTTTTTCTTCTGTTGTTCTCAATAATTCTACTTCTAACTCCTCTATTCTTACTTTCGGGGTACCTCAGGGTTCTATCCTTGGCCCTCTTCTATTTATACTCTATACTTCTGAACTACCGCGTATTATTAATAACTTTTCTTTCTCTAGTCAACTATATGCTGATGATTCTTACATTTATACTTCTTTTCCTCCATCTAATCTCAATAGTGTTCTTCATAATTTATCTCTATGTCTTTCTTCAATTATCGCTTGGTCTGACTCTATGTGTCTTAAACTTAATCCTTCTAAGTTTGAATTAATTTGTTTTAATAAATCTAAACACTCTATTACTATTCCTCCTATTATCTTACCTGATTCTAAAACTCTTGATGTCTCTCATAAGTTTCGTAGTCTAGGTTTTATCTTTGATTCTACAATGTCTCTCTCTTCTCAGATTAATAGTGTTGCTAAAAGCTCTTACTTTCATCTACGTAGAATAAAAAAACTTTTGCCTTTTCTTGATGATCCTACTCTTCTCTTTCTTGTTACTTCGTTAGTCTTATCTAGGATTGATTATTGTAACTCGCTCTACTATGGTCTTCTTGACTCTATACTCTATCCTTTAAGTAAAGCTTTTAACTCTGCTGCTCGTCTAGTTGCTCGTGCCCCTTTCTTTTCTCATATATCTCCATATCCATATCTTGTTCTCTTACACTGGCTACCTATAAAATATAGAATAATTTTTAAAATTTGCACGTTCATGTATAAGTCTCAATCTAAATTATTTCCTATGTATTTATCAGATATATTAATTGAACCTAAACGCCCCGGTTTACGATCGTCTTCTTCTTCTCGCTTTTTCTTAACTCGTGTTAAACACTCTTTTGCCAAATCTGCTTTTGCTTTTCCTGGTCTTTTTCTCTGGAACTCTCTACCTACTTCTCAGACTACTTCTCCATCACTTGCGAAGTTCAGAGCGGATCTCAAGACCCATCTGTTTTCAAAATTCATTGAGGAGCGCTGTTGAACATCGCGGAAATAGCGCTTTATAAGCTAATTGATTGATTGATTGATTGATTGATTGATTGATTGATTGATTGATTGATTGATTGATTGATTGATTGATTGATTGATTGATTGATTGATTGATTGATTGATTGATTGATTGATTGATTGATTGATTGATTGATTGATTGATTGATTGATTGATTGATTGATTGATTGATTGATTGATTGATTGATTGATTGATTGATTGATTGATTGATTGATTGATTGATTGATTGATTGATTGATTGATTGATTGATTGATTGATTGATTGATTGATTGATTGATGAAGAACTAGGTGATCTCACGTATTATTTGTCACAATTTGATTTTGAAGTAAAATATTCACCAGGAAAATATAATTTAGAAGCAGACAGTTTGAGTTGAAATCCTGTATTGGAACCATATGAAAACCAAGAAGATATTTTGAAAGTTGTAAATTTTATTACACTTGAAGACATTCAAAAAGACCAAGAAATAAACGAAGACATAAAACAACACCAAAATCGACTATCATTAAAAGACACAGTATATTAAAAAAAGGTGGAAAAAACGGTAAAGATTTTACTGACTGAGGAATTTAGTATAAAAATTATAGAAAACACGCACATTTTATATGGTCACATAGAAATACAACAAATGGAAAAAAAATAAACCCTTGTATATAGCAAAAAATATAACACAAAATATATAAAAATTTTGCGAAACTTGTGAAATCTGCATAAAAAACAAATCCAGATCTAAATATAAATTTGGATTAATGTCCCATCTAGGCCCAGCTACAAAACCTTTTGAAATCATGTCAATTGATACCATTGGGGGACTTGGTGGCTCACGTTCAACTAAAACATATTTGCATCTTCTGGTAGACCACTTCACAAGATATGCATATATTTTGACTTCAAAAACTAAAAGCTCAAGCGATTTTATAAAACTTGTCAATACAGTATCGTCAGAAAATAAAATAGGTCTCATTCTATCGGATGATATGATATCGTTTTAACAACCACGTCTGAGCAGAATGCAGCACAGATGTTTGAAGATTGGAACACCAGACTCGCCGATCATGGATTCAAAGTCAACATCAGCAAAACCAAACCAATGAACACTGGTGAACCCATCCAATCCACAGCTACTGGACGATGGCCCTGTTCAGTTTGTAAAGCTGGTGTAGGTAACAATACAATAGTGTCAGCAGTGTAACCAGTGGTGTCACAAACGCTGTTCAAAAATAATT